CAAGGAGAAACCATCTATAGCAGAGTATGGGAGGATGAAGTGTTGACCATCATACAAGCAGGTAAGAGGAAAAAAAAACAAAAACATAAAAGAATTGTTAAAAGGACAAATTTGTGCTAATGACAGTAAAAAATCCCAGGGATCTGTTTGCAGGCAGACTGCGGGGTACCCTGGAACCCCAAATACGCATACTCTAAAGGTACTGGCCATCCACGTTCACAAAGACAAAGCATACTTAGCGTAAAAGAATAGGATTGCAGATGCTGTCCATAGAGAGCAGAGTAAAAAGGACAGAGAGTAAAAAGGAGAGAGCAGAGTAAAAAGGATAATCATTTCCCAATGAAACATCCAAAGTTATCCATCCCCACTAGGTAAATGTCCAGCCAAACAGGATTGGCCCAAAGTATGGCAAGCTCTGGGGCCTCATTGGTCCTAAGTCTAAGGCACCTCTGACAGGAAACCATAGAAGGGGGCAAAAAAGGCCAGGCAAATCTGAGCTGAAAGTAAAACAGTGCCAATGTTATAGAGCAACCCCGATATTAAACGGGTTCCTGGCTGTGGGTCCTCACCCGCGCGCTTTAAAGGGACTTATGAATACTCTACTACAGACACACGCAAAAGGGTTAATAAAAGGTTTATTTACAAGAGAAAAAGAAATAAGGAAAATGTACAACTCAGGGAGAAAATAGGGAAATAAAGTCTTTAATGAGTCCTACCCGATCCGACGACCTGGAAACCCCAAAGTCACTCTAGCTAGACGGACGCCGCGAGCTGGCCGAGGGCCAAAAATGGAGAGCCAAAGCCCACGTGTCTGCCTTTGTATCCACCTGGCTGCTTAACCCCACCCTCAGGTCCCAGCCACCTTCCCTTTGGTTGTGATGGGATTTGGAGTTCCCAGTGTCTTTGGCTTTGACCTGGGGTGGGGGTGGAGTCCACAAAGCCTGTATGGAATTTGCTTTGGGACTGCCTTTTCCCCCTAACACCAAGGTGGGGTACAGATCTGTGGGTTCTCACCTGTGCCTTCACAATTGCAAGATACCACTCAGGCTCAGAGTGCAACAACAAAGGGGCTTATTAACAATGGGGAGATTAGAAAGGAGAGAGCTTTTAAGGCTACAACTGATTGGCTGGCTCACCCCATAGTGTCCACAGGGTCCAGTGATCCACAACAAGGTCCATTTGTGCAGGATGGCACTGTGTAGGGACAGGAAGGGCACACTGCAGATTCTCTATGACCCGAGCAGATGGGTAAAGGAGAGTCCTGGAGCCTTCGGTGGTTTTTTCAGGGTTTTATTGAGTTTATCAGGTACAGGGCAGGCAGGGGGTGCCAGGGAGCTGGGAGGTCAGCCTCCCAACCCCCACCCCCATCCCCCACCCCGCGAATCTTTGCTCTTTCTGGGCTCTTTGGCGTTCTCTAGTGGCCTTTGCTTCACTCCTGGTTCTCTTCCGGTCTCTCGCTTGCTCTGTGCCTAATGGTTCCGTTTCTCTGGCATCCCGTGATGCCCCTTATAAGCCCCAGTCTCAGTCCTGGTGCACCACCTACTTATGGCCACACCCTACCCCAGGTGTCCATCATCAGGCATGCATTCAGGACCACTGGGATTCATCATCAATCCTAATGGCGGGAGGGCAGCAAAGCCTCACCATCATTTACCCTACACCCTTCAATGAGTTCCTGGAACTGGTGACACACGAGTAAGCAGTGGACCAGGATCCAACTCATGGTGGCAGCTGGAGGGGATCACAGGTGAGGCCCCTAAGATGACACCACAGCAGCCCACAGCAACAGTCTGAAAGACAGGCTGCACAAGACCAGATGCTAGACAGAACAGAACCAGACACAACAGCACCAGGAGGTGGTGCCAGATGATAAAAAGTGGTGGCAGCTCTCAAAGGTAGCCAGACACAGAGTGCCAGTTATCAGTCAGCACCAGTCACCAGGAGGTGGTGCCAGAGACACCAATGTTTCAACTCTTTGGGAGCTGTTGACATAAGCCAACAGCAATGATCTCTTTTTTAAGAGACTCTGGCCCAGGCTGATGATGCTCATTTCAGGTGGTGTCAGAGGGCAGGGCCAGAGGCAGGTGCAGTAGCCAGGCTCTCTGTGAAGGTCTTTGGGGGTCTGAAAATCTACAGAAGTCTGGAAGTCTGAGAAAGTCTCCAAGTCTGTGAAGGTCTTGGAGTCTGCAAAGTTCTTGAAGTTTGCGGAATCATCTTCTGAAGCCATCTCCTGAATGAATCAAGCTGACTCCTGCCCTGCCTTATAGCCCCTTCAGGGTCCCCATCTGTTCAGCCTGATTATACTGTTTTCAATTCTGTTTGATTGGTGCTGGTTAAGCTCACTCTGTTTTCAATTCTTCAATGGACTCAAAACCTTGAATGGAGCTGGAAAGCTTGAACCCGATTGGTCCATTAAGCTCAAACTTGATTGGTCTATTTAGGATCCTGGTGCCATATTCAAAAGGGAAACCCAAAGAGTCTGCCCAGACTTGACCTGCACTGAGGTCAGGGTAGGCTCGTCAGTGGTGTGCTCAAGGGACCCACAGCCAGAGCCGGCCTCGGAAGGACTGGAGGCTTGCTGCACCCAGTGCACCTCAGCAGGGCTGGGTGTAATGATGCAGGGGGGCCTGTACCAGAGCTGGTGAAGGATCCCAGAAACTGCTGTGCATTCTGCCACTCAGAACCTGCCATGTTGGCCCAGCATGATGTGGGTCTTTCTCCCCTGGTTCACAACAGGCCAGAGTAAGCCTCTCCGTTGCAGCCTCAGGGCCACTTGTTCTTAGCTGGACAAGGAAATGTTGGCCATAGCTTTCAGGGTTTGGTGCCAGGCTGCAGACTGCATGTGATGGGGCTGGCTGCCAAAACTCATTGCAGGAGCCCCAGTGGGGCAGCAAGGCAAGAAAACCACTACTGCTGAAGCAGGCTGGGGGCGGCCCACAAGTAGCACACTGCAGTGGATCAGGCCCAGCAAAACTGCCTGAGGCTCAGGCAGCCATTCTGTTTCAAAAGGAGAAAAATCAAAGTAAAAAGCGAGATGACAGCTCTCATTGTTAGCCTCCTCGCATGTCTCTCACCCACATCTCTTCCAAGTGTCTCTACATGTCTATCCTCCATGTGTCTCCTTCCATGTCCCCCAAGTCTCCTGTGCAAGTCCAAAGCCAAGAAGCAAGGACACTCTTCTCCACATGTCTCCTCCCTCCAGTGTCTCTCTTCAGTGTCCCCCTGAGCACATCCATCTGCTTTTTTGTGTTGAATAGCTTCACCTGGATCCTCAGTTTTGCCTATAGTTAAGTGGGGGCAGGGAACATGGATTATCAGTCAGAGGTGGGGGCAGAGAGGATTATCAATCAATCCACCCTGACCCCAATGAGATAAATTCCATAGTAATTTCACCAAAGAACTCAATAAAGGAATACCCTTTGCCCTGGTGGGATGCAGCTCTCTGCCTGTCTGTTTCTATGCCAGCACCTCTCTTTTCTTTTTATCTTTTCTTTAATAAACTTACCATATGCTAATGAATGGGAATTCTACTGAATTCTTTCTTGGATGGACCTAAGAACCACAACATACAGCAGCCACAGGAAACAAATCCAGCTCTCCTCCCTAAATTTAAGCTGTACACATGACCACACAGGTAGCGAGACTCCCCTCCCCTTCCTCTGCCCACCACCACCAGCAGACAAGTTGCAAAACAGTAAGTTTTTCTTTTTTATATTTGTGCCTGGATTGTAGAAGGGAAATGTTGATTGGACTGACTTGTAATAGAAATGATCCAACCTGCCAGCTTAAGAAAAGATCCAATCAGGAAGGTAGGGTAGGGGACCCTGAAAGAGGATATAAGGCAGGGCAGAAGTCAGCTTAAGGGACTCTGTTCCCAGACTCCGAGAAAAAAGAATATTCTGTTCCTGCCCTCCAAATTCTGACCACCTCCACCTGCCACCGTGAGCTGCAGCCTGGCCTGCTCTTTGCAGGTGCACCACATGCTCCAGCACTCTTTGATGGGATGGCACCATCTTGAATGAGCAACCTTTGTTTGAGACTTCAGGACACTGGGCACTATCTAGGGTTAGATAACTGTTAAGTGAGGCTTGCCCATTTCTACTGGGGTTTCATTCAATAAGGTTAAAAACTAAGCCCCCACTCCTTGCCCAGCAGGCAAGTTTGGGGAGGGAGATTTGAACAGATAAGGAAATCAGTAAGGTTGCCACTGGGCCATAAGACAGGCCACTCTGACCAGAAATACCAGCCCAACTCCAGGAATGGAGAGGCAGGGCCAAGTCATCTTTTGTGTCAAAGGCCGGCACTTGAGACCAGACATCCCAAACAACTGGCGCCCCAAGCAAAAACAGAGTATAAAAGAGAGCCTGAAATCCTTCCCATGCAGACCTAAATCTCCCTACTTCCCCCTGCCTCTCTGCAGGGTATTTCAATAAATCCACCTTTACTGTTCTTCACTCTGTCTCTGGTGAATTCTTTCACCCTGGCATTAGACTGCCACAATTCCCAAGCATTGATACTATTTACTAGGCTCTGTTATAAAAGCAGTAGCTGGTATTCAATTTTAAAAATTTGAGATACACAAAGAAGAAAAACCAACCCAGTTTTCATACACGAAATAATCAAAAAGAACACACACGATGTGACCCAGATGTTGGAACAGTAGGGTGGGGACTTAAGCTGTGATTAACATGTTTAAGAATCTACTCTAATCTCGCTAGTATTTCCTTGTCTATAAAAGAGGGACACTCGACCTTGCCAGAGGGTGGTGGTTGCCAAATAAAATAGAGGCCGGCCAGCTTAATTTTTCTTTCAGATAAAAAAAGTAATTATTTTATGATAAGTAGGTTTGGGACATATTTATACTGAAACGTAGCTTTCACCGTTTCTATGAAGTTAAAATGTAAGCAGAAAGTCTGCATTTTGGCTACAGCTAACGCTGGCAGCCCTGCAGACGCGTCACAGAGAATAAGAGCCTCAAACGCCAGACGTTCTCCCCGGAGCGCTCAGTGAAAGCTAACGTTGCTTGCCCTCCCGGCCCCTCTGTCATTCCTAGCTCCTTCATTCCCTCACTCAATTTTTAAATTAACCAGTTGTGCTGTGGCTCGTCATCCCGAGCGACCAAGGCACTCTCGGGAAGGTCCAAACAAGAAGAACCAGGCATTTCGAGTGCCAAGGGAAGACAGTCCCGGAAAGTGACATCACGACTCACAAGGTCTCGCCCTTAAGGGCGCGAGCGACGCGTAAATACAACGTCATCCGGGCGCCAGCCCCGGGGCCTGACGGGATTGTGGCGGTCTTCTTTTCCTATTCGGAAGCGGCCTCTACCTCCGGACGCTCTCAAGATGGCGACCTCTCTGGGTTCCAACACCTACAACAGGCAGAACTGGGAGGATGCGGTGAGTGTGCCTGTCGGAGGAGGACAGTAGGCGGCGGCGGGGCCGGGTCTCCTACGGGCGGGCAGCAGCGGGGCTGCAGCGCTGCCCAGGGAATTCCGGGGAAGAGCCAGCGCCGCGGCCTAGCTGGGACAGAGCAGGAGCCCGGAGGGCAGCACTCCTGCGGACTTGGAGCCAGGGAGCTTAGCCAGGGTCCGAGACCAGCCCTGTTTCCATTTCTGTCCCCTTTTGGAGCTTGCTTTCTTTTCTCTCGCCACCTGCCGGAAGTGCAGACAGCGCCGCCTCCCGCGACCCGGCCCGTGCCGGCCCCTGGTTCCTGCCCGTTCATCAACCTAGCTCCTCGCCTCCCCTCCCCCCGCCACAATGAGTGTGCCTGCGTTGGCAGGGTTTTCTGAGCCTGGCCCTCAACCAGATTTCCCATTTTCACCAGGACTTCCCCATTCTGTGCCAGACGTGTCTTGGAGAAAACCCATATATCCGAATGGTGAGTGATCAAGTATGAAATGGGTGTTATTGTTCACGTTCTATCAATGTGGTGATGTTGGCACACTGTAGGTGAAGTGTTTCTCTTAGCCAAGCAGAAGTAATGATGCTCCCTTACTAATCCAAAGAGGACGATTTGCAAAGAACTGTCATGCTTATTCTCTAAATTTTGCAACTCAGCAACAATCCTTTGATGTAGCAGTCACAATAATAGCTAATATGTGTGGAGCATTTGCCTAGGAGGTAGCCTTGTTAACTACAGCCTGAGAGAGTATGTCTTTTCATAAAGCAAGTAAGAAGTGGAGTTGGGTTTTAAATTCAGATATTTTGACTCTAGGGATCTCAGCAAGTTATCAGGAGAACCAGGACTAGAAACTAAGCTTCCTGACTCCTAATAAAATGCCTTTTGGCCTCTGCACCTTGTAGTCTTTTGTGTAAGGCAACCCCTATCCTTATAAATAAAGGTAAATTTCGCAGCAGTTAACATTTCACAATCAGGTTAGGACTGAATCTTGATTGCTTTTTTTTAGAGGTATTTATATATTGAAGCATTCATTGTGTTTGGATAGCTTGTGGAAACAGAACAGTTGCTACATTGAGGGAATCAGTACAAGATGAATCTACAGTAGTATCTTCTGTCTAAACATTGTACAATGGACTGTCTATGGCTGTATCTTCCCTGATATGGGGATAGTGGAAACAGTTAGGAATTTTAGTTCTTGGGAAAGAGTTAGGAGCCTGAAGAGTTGTGGCTGTGGAAAGACATATACTGTCCGAGTGTTAGAGCCATATATAGAATATATTATTCTCCCTTTCTTTCTTCTTATCCCCCCCCCAAAAAAAAAAAATAAAGCTTAGGTTTTTCCCTCCTCTGTAGGATGCCAGGAATCTCCAGACATATTTCTTGGATTGTATTTAGGGATGGAGCAATTGTTTTTTTTTTCCTTTCTGTAACTCCAGGTCTTTTCTATTTTTCTGTTTCAGACCAAAGAAAAGTATGGGAAGGAATGCAAAGTAAGTGTGTCTGTTAAAGACCAATGTTTTCCTTTCCATTTCTCTATCAGTTAGCCTCTTGCTGCACTTTGAGGTGTTCCAATAAAAGTGCTATACAACTTTCAAATATCATTTATATGCTCTTTAGCTTTGTAGCTATTTAGTGTGAGTGGTCAGAATGTGACTTTTTTTAACAGGGATTCTTTTTTTTTTAAGCAGTTTTATTTTATTAATTTTTTGCATAGAACAACTGAGGTGTAGGCCAGAAATGCAGGGGGTAAGAGGATTCACCAGAGACAGAGTGGGGAGTAGACCAGGTAGATTTACTGAAATACATTGCTAAGGGAAGCAGTAAGATAGGACAGGTCTGCTGCACCATATGTGGGTTAACTCCTGGCCGGGGATTGAACTCAGGCCTTAGCGGTGATAGCGCTGAGACTTAACCCCTAGGCCACCAGGGAGGTCCAACATAGGGATTCTTAACATGGTGTCCGGATGGTCTTTGACCTCCCCTGAGATTATATACTGTGTTATTTAACTATGCACATGAGCATTTTAGCCAGGAGGAAGGTCATAGCTGTCATTAAAAGTCTTGATACTGGGCCTTCCCTGGTGGCACAGGCGGTTGAGTGCAGCGCTGTGAAGCTGTCCGCAGCCTCTGCAGCACTGGTTCAATCCCGGCTGGTGAGGGTCCCACATGGTGCAGCAGACCTCTCTGTCGTGCCCGCTGCTCCCCTCAGCATTGTATTTCGTCATTCCGCCTATTCTGTTCCTGCTCTGCTCTGTCGCTCGCTCCTCTTGACTCCTCACCCTCCTGCGCATTTGTACCCCAGTTCTTGTATAAATAAATAAATAAATTTTTTAAAAAAAAAAGTCATGATACTCTACTCCCCCACCCCTGGCTATCTGTAGATAGGTGGGGAGGATGTTGACTTTTGATTATTTCATTTTTGTGAGGTTTTTTTTTTTACATTGTTAAGTTAGCACCATTACCGGAGAAGTGAATTGCAAATGGATTTGAAACATGAGATGATGTTTAGATTAGATGATAGCTAAAGGTCTTTTCTAAAACCTTAGTCAGGGATCCTTTCTCTGAGTCGCCCATTGTTATTAATTTTCCTGGATTATTTGTCTAGGTCAGGACCATTAACACTCTGTGGCTCTTATTTTGTGTTGAAGATCTGTGCACGGCCATTCACAGTATTTCGCTGGTGCCCTGGGGTCCGCATGCGTTTCAAGAAGACTGAAGTGTGCCAAACCTGCAGTAAATTGAAGAATGTTTGTCAGACTTGCCTCTTGGACCTTGAGTACGGTATGTTCACCTCTCCAGTAGATCTGAAAGAAAACAGACTTTCTTTGTCTTAAATCTCTCACCCTGTTTCTGGTTGTCACCCACACATTGGACTATCTGCTGTGGTCTGTTTTCCCAGGAAGAGAACTGTGCTAACTAGTACACTGTAGAGCCCTCCTGAACAGTACTAGGAACTTATGGAAAAGTTGGGAATCAGTCAGAACTGGCCTAAACCTCCCTGATGTATGTCCCTCTAACGAAGGTAGAGGCAGTGTAATTTCTTTGCCTAGGCTTCCTTCTAGATCCAGAACTTTT